GAAGTGTGTGAAAGTGATACTAAGGTGAGGCTGCAAAGGCTAGGGTGAGGGAAATGGATGTGAGAAGAGCCGAGATGGTGACTCTTTAGGCTAGGTAGGCTAAATGATGTGGGTTCAATCCCCCAAGTCTAGATCTAGATGGATAAGGTCATAGGGATAAGCATTGGATATTTTTTGACTCGGTCATGCATATGAATGTGGCCGCACCTCAATGTGAGGTTGCCTACGTATCCGTTAGAAATCAGGCCGAACGAAGCTGTAACCAACATTTGAATAAGTGTATGTACTCAAAGAGGTCTTTCAAGGGTTGTAATGTGGTTAAGCTGATGGTTTAAGGAAGAAAAGGGTAAAAGGCTCAAGACCCGTGAGAAGCCCCTAAGATATGCTATTATGTATTAGACTTTGCAAGTTTTACTTTTCATATATTTTTTTGCTTTGAATTTCTTTTCTTTTTTGCTTTTTTTAATTCTTGTGAATCAATGTAGGCAATCTCATCATGCGGTCCATCACTCACTTAGCATTCATGTTTCTCAGGCACGTACCAAGCACTCGATGAGAGACGCAATTTGAGACATGTTCATATCGGAGACATTGGAACACTTGCCTTTAGACATTTTTTTAGTTGAACTTGCTTTCTGAATGTTACACAACTTGCACACCTTCCCATCCCAGGGTTAGGTGAATGTGGGTTGAATAAATGAGGCCAAACGCTAGACGAGGCTCAAAGTGGTTGATGAAGAAATGGATATGTGATTGAAAATGGTTTAAGGGGAATGATAGGGTTGCAAAGGTGCCTCAAAACATTGGTGTACCTTGTTTTTAGTTCGGCAATTGATTTTTATTTTTTTTATTATTATTTTTTGCATAAAAAAGTCATGATCGAGATATAAAGGAATAATGCTCTTGTTATTGATGGAAATGGTGAATCAACAAACACAATGATCTAATAACATAAAGGGAAATCTTTGCTAGACTAATGGGGAAAAGGGAAATGATTAAGAAAAAAAATATCATGAAATCTTACATGATGAACTCGCTGTGCGCTTGGTCTTTATTACTTTTTGCCGCTTAGAGGGACAGGAAGTTTGTTTGCATCCACCAAGTCTTGAATGACGTCCTTCAAATTCCAACATTGCTTGGTAGTGTGGCCCCTTCCTTGATGGTACTTGCAATAGGCATTCGGATTCCATTTGGCGCTCCTTTCTTCAGGTTAAGGCTCTAGAAATGGCCCAATAGGTGTGATCAAGCCTTGACCGTAAAGGCGATCAAAGACCGCATCATAAGTCATTCGTAAAGGTGTGTAAGTTCTTTTTTTATTGGGCAATGGAGCATCAAGAGCTAACACTTCATTGAGATCAACTTGGCTTATATTGTTGGTAGTATTTTCGTGCTTAGAAGACAAAGAAGAAGGATGGTCATTCTTCTTGTTTTTCCAAGTGTTATTAATGTTACTACCAACAATCTTTATTAGCTCATCCTCGATATTGATGCCGATGTCATATACAGCTTCGAAAGTGTTCAGTGGAAGAAATTTGAGATGTTCCCTATACTTATGAGTCAGATTTTGCATAAAGAGGCAAACCATCTCTCTTTCTTTGGGAGAATCTACCAAGAGTAAAGCCGTTTCCCTCCACCTATTCAGATAAGCGATAAAGCCTTCATTCTCTTTTTGTTTGAGAATAAATAGTTCACGTTCAGAAGTTTTAGTTTGAATGTAACACTTGTAACGGTTCATAAAACTGTCAATGACATCTTGCCAAGTCGCAGTACGCTGATAAATCATATTTATATAGTTTTATTTAGGCACGTTTTTGCTAGTTTTAGAGCTTTTTCATAGTCTTCTTAATCGTTTTTAGAGTCATGTCTACATTATTTATTATATATCGCTCTATTACGCTCCTTTTGTGTTTTTCTTAATGTTTCAGGTGATTTCATAGTCATTTGGAAGCTTTCGAAGTGTTTAGAGATGATTCGGATGATATTTGAATGGAAATCGATTGATCGGGTTCATTGATCGAGGGATATATGCTCGTGGATGTTGGCTCTAAGGATTTTATGCATGGAAAATGAAAATATCATCCACGAGAGTCACTATGGACCTTACGGAAGTGAACTTGAGTGAGAAACGGGGAAAAACGAAGGTTTGCAAGGTATCAAAAATGACCTTTCCTCACTCTTTTGATCATATCTTGAGTTATACAGATTGGATTGATAAGATTCAAGTTGCTTTGGAAACTAGACTTGAAGAGATTTCCAATGATAGGTCACACGCCCCGAGAGGATTCCTAGAACAGAAGTTATGAGCATTTCAATCTAGTCGATGCAACCAGCCAACCGCGGGGGTGGCCGCGCCCCTGTCCCGCGCCCCCTCGAGGCTGCTGCCGCCACTGCCAGGGCGCGGGAACCACCTGCGGCCGCGGGTCTGGTCGGGTGGTGATGATGAGCCACTCGCATCCTTGCTTCCCTGGTTCCACGTCATCAATTGTCATCCAATAGCATTATACTTATGTATTTATTTATTAATTTTATTAAGATGAGGCAAAAAATATAAATACTTAGAAGATTTTATTTTGCCTCTTTATGCTTTATTTTTCTAGATTAAGCGTTTCTTAGTTTTTCTCTCCATTGTTGAACCCTAGCTTTATTTCTCCATTAATTCAATCATCGAGGTATTTCATTTATTCTTTTTTTTCTTTATTTATTTTATTAATTATGAATTCAAGTCTATTTATTTCTTTTGTTTTGTTTATTTCAATTATGAGTGAGTAGTCGTTTTCTAGGGTTAAGTGAGGGAAGCCATGTTTATACCATGATTATTTGTGCTTATTTATTTATAAATTTATGAATTAGGGTTTGAATAATTCCAATTGATTTGTGCTTTATTGTTTGATTCATGTAATTGGCCAATATCATGAGTTAATTATTTAGCTAATAAAAATCAGAATTGAAAGATCATATTTTTAGAGGCTTAATTACAATTGGCGAATTTGATTATGTTAGCGGCCGAACTACATATGTTAATTCGTAAGCGTTAATTCCCGATCGTAGGATTAACAAGTGCTTTAATTATTCGACCTAGTTTGTTTATTAATGGATTGTTTGCATTTCTTGGATTGGTATAAGCATGGCGGACCGTACGTATGCCCTAGACTTTAATTTGTCTGAGAACAACCTTACTTTCATTATTGTCATTCTTTAGTTAATTAATCATCAATCATTATTCGTTTATAGAATTAGTTCATATAATTGGGCAAAAACTAATAGAACCTGTCTCCCTGTGGGATTCGACCCGTATTTGATAAATCTCTGCTAACAACAGACACCGTGCACTTGCGGTATAACTTTTTATTCATCAAGTTTTTGGCGCCGTTTCCGGGGAGACGGCTAGATTCTATTAGTTTTAGTTTGATTGTTTGAACTGTTTTTATTGTCCCATTGGAACTTCTAGTTTCAATTGGGACATTCTCATTGCTTTCTTTTCTTTTTGTTTATGCCCAGGTCAAAACGAATAGGTGATTTGATCCCTACAGATCCAGACTTGGACAAGACCCTTAGGCAACTCAAAAAACAAGGGAAAGGGAAGCAGAAAAAGACCCACTCACAGAAGAGCTCTACAACACAGTCTGACACACGCAAAGAGATGACTGATAATAGGTCTCTTAATTCTTACGGAGTATCATCCCAAGATGGGATTCCAACGGGTCTTAAAATGCCAGCAATCACTGCAGAGAACTTCGAGATCAAACCCGCATTGCTCAGTATGGTCCAACAAAATCAATTTAGTGGCCATCCTACTGACGAGCCGATTAATCACTTGCAGCGATTTCAACAATTATGCTCCATTGTTCATCACAAAGGAGTCACTCAAGATCAAATGAAAGTGATGTTGTTCGGATTTTCCCTTCGTGATAGAGATCAAAAGTGGTTGAACACTGTCGAGGAGACGGAGTGGAGCAAGATTTCTCAAGCATTCCTCAAAGAATATTTTCCCCCTGAAAAAACTGAAAAGATTCGACATCAAATATCAACATTTTCTCAAGAGTCGGGGGAATCTCTTAGGGAAGCATGAGATAGATTCTTAGATCTTCAACGATCATGCCCGCATCACAATTTTGAAAAGTGGAATCTTGTTCGTATTTTCTATAACGGACTAGAACCCGAGACTAAATGTATTGTTAATTCTGCTGCAGGTGGTGTTTTCCTTGACAAGACAATCGAGGAAGGGTATGATTTTCTTGCAAATCTTGCAGCCAACCACTTCTCATCTCAAAGAACACGACCAAAGAAAGGGAAGATGGAAGTTGAAGCCTATTCACTCATGACATCTCAAATGGCTCAATTAACTGCAAAGATTGAAGCATTGCAGGCCGCTCAAGAATCTTCTCTTTTATCTGTTAATGCTATGTCTTCTCAACCTTCGCAAACTCATTTTTTTTGTGAATTGTGTGGTATACAGGGTCACTTTGGATATCAATGTACTTAGAATTCTCAAGAGACCAATCAGATGGAGCAGGTGAATGCCTTTCAGCAAAGGCAACCAAATGATCCATATTCTAACACATTCAATCCAGGTTGGAGGAATCATCCCTACCTTTCATACAAAATCAATAATGTTCAAAATCCTCAACCTCAACAACAGTGGTCAAAACCTCACAACCCTCAACCTTAGCAATATGTTGCAAGGCCTCCACTACTTCAACAAGGGGCCTCTCATCATCCTCCTCCGGGTTTCAATAGGCCACCTCAACAACAACAACCTTCTCATGGCACTCAAGAGCCCACTATGTCTGACCTTATGAGAATGATGACAACCATGAAGCAAAATACTGAAGATAGCATCAAGGAGTTGAAAAACACGAAAGCATTTGGAGAACCAAATTGCACAAGTCGCAGGTACCAATATCCAAAGGCAACCTGGCCACTTACCGGGACAACCGGTCCCCAAGGAGACCGCCAATGCTATCACTACTCGTAGTGGTGTCAGTTACGAAGGGCCACAAATGCCTACTGATGATGCAAATCTTGAGAAGGAGAATAGTGAGGTTGCAGAGAAGGCCTCATATGATGTTCCCACCTCAAAAGATGGGAAAGCTAAAGCAAGTGATGCTGAAAAAGAGAAAAAGAAAGGTTTTGAGCCTCCATCCGTCGAGCCAAAGCTACCATTCCCACATCGAATGCAAAAGACCAAGGTAGATCAACAATTCGGTAAGTTCTTGACTATGGTCAAGAACCTTGAGGTAACTGTTCCTTTACTAATTTGGTCTCTCAAGTTCTAATGTATGCAAAGTTTTTAAAGGAAATGATTACTAAGAAGAAAGACTTTGGTGGTGTAGAAACAGTCGCTCTAACTGCAGAGTGTAGTGCTATATTGCAAAATAAATCCCCACCTAAGCTTAAGGACCCTGGTAGTTTTTCCATCCCATGTCATGTAGGTGCATTATTCATTGATAAAGTTTGTAACAGGTTGAATATGGGAGCTTTAAAATGCACACAGATCACTTTGCAAATGGCGGATCGTTCTATAAAATACCCTTTAGGTGTTTTGGAGGATGTACCCGTTCGGGTTGGAAAATTTTTCATCCCTGATGACTTTGTAGTTTTGGATATGGAGGAGGATAGAAATATTTCGATCATTTTAGGTAGACCTTTCTTGTGTACTGCAGGTGCTATTATTGATGTCAAGTCCGGGTCCCTTACTTTGTCTGTTGGTGATGATACAGTGACTTTTAATCTAACAATGCAATGAAGTCGCCTATGCTTGAGAATACTTGTTGCAGGATTGATGTGCTTGATGAAATTGTGAGAGATAATACGCCTCGTGAGTTAGCTAATGATCCATTAGAAGCTGTTCTCACCTTGGAGGTTTCTGAAGGAGAAGGAGATATAGAGATTGACTCTTTGATTCGTGACTTGGATGCCCCTAACACTGAGGGGTTTGAGGTAATGGAAACTATTTGTTCTACTTCTGAGTCACAGGTAAAAAAGGTAGAGTTAAAACCTTTGCCTTCTCATCTTATATATGCATTTCTTGACGATAATAAGGAATGCCCTGTAATTGTTAGTGCTAAACTTGATGATAGCCAACTTTCTAAGCTTTTGACTGTGCTTCGCATGCATAAAAAGGCAATCGGGTATAGCATTGATGATCTTACAGGGATAAGTCCTAATTTTTGTATGCATAGAATTAATTTGGAAGAGAATCATCGCCCTTGCATTCAACCACAACATCGATTGAATCCTAATATGCAAGAGGTGGTGAAGAAAGAGGTAATGAAACTTCTTGACGCGGGCATCATCTACCCCATCTCAGATTCTACGTGGGTGAGCCCGGTACAAGTCGTTCCTAAGAAAGGGGGGACAACAGTTGTTAAAAATGATAAGAATGAACTAATTCCTACTCGTGTTGTCACAGGTTGGCATATGTGTATCGATTATCGCAGGTTGAATACAACCACCTTGAAAGATCACTTCCCCTTACCTTTTATAGATCAAATGCTTGAAAGATTAGCAAAACATAGTTTTTTCTGTTATTAGGATGGATATTCAGGTTTCTTTCAGATTCCCATTCATCCGGAGGATCAAGAGAAGACAACGTTCACATGCCCCTATGGTACATTTGCTTATCGCAGAATGCCATTTGGGTTGTGTAACGCCCCTGCGACGTTTCAAAGGTGTATGATGGCCATTTTTTTCTGATTTCATCGAGAACATCATGGAGGTATTTATGGATGATTTCAGTGTTTATGGTTCTGACTTTGATATGTGCTTGCATAATCTTTCTAAGGTGCTTAAACGTTGTACTGATGTAAATTTGGTCTTGAATTGGGAAAAGTGCCACTTCATGGTCAATGAAGGAGTGGTATTTGGTCATCTTATTTCTGATCGTGGCATCCAAGTTGACAAAGCAAAAATTGAGGTGATTGAGAAACTTCCTCCTCTTGTGAATGTCAAGGGAGTGAGAAGTTTTCTTGGTCATGCAGGGTTTTATCGCCGATTTATAAAATATTTTTCGAAAATAGCGAAACCCCTCACTCAATTGTTGCTTAAGGATGCAACATTTGAGTTTACTGATGCTTGTATGGAGTCTTTCAACAGGATCAAGGAGGCATTGATAACTGCTCCAATCATACAACCTCCGGATTGGGATTTACCATTCGAGATCATGTGTGATGCGAGTGACTATGCTGTGGGAGCCGTGCTTGGACAACAAAAGAACAAGGTTTTGCATGCCATTTACTATGCTAGTAAAACCTTGGATGAGGCTCAGATGAATTATGCCACCACTGAGAAAGAGCTCCTAGCTATTGTGTATGCTCTTGACAAGTTTCGAACTTACCTCATTGGTTCGAAAGTAATTATCCACACTGACCCTGCCGCTCTGAAGTATCTTCTAGCAAAGAAAGAGGCTAAACCGAGGCTCATTCGATGGATTTTGCTCCTTCAAGAGTTCGATTTAGAGATTCGAGATAAAAAGGGTGCCGAGAACGTTGTTGCGGATCACCTCTCTCAATTAAGATTTCAGTCTACTTCAGATAGCCCTATAAATGACTCTTTCCCCGATGATCATTTATTCTTTGTTTCTTCTGTACATCCATGGTATGCTGACTATGCTAATTTTTGTGTAGGTGGTTCACATCCTCTGGATTTGACTTACCAACAACGCAAGAAGTTCTACCATGACGCTAAGCGTTACTTTTGGGATGACCCTCATTTGTATCGTAAATGAGCTGATGGAATGTTTTGGAGATGTGTAGCAGATTGGGATACTCATGGTGTCCTTCATCATTGTCATAATCTACCTTCTAGCGGACATCTTGGTTCTACTGCAACTGCCTACCGAGTGCTTCAATGTGGTTTCTATTGGCCCTCATTATTCAAGGATGCTCGTGTTTTTTGCAATGCATGTGATGAGTGTCAAAGAACGGGAAATATATCAAAGAGGCAAGAGATGCCACAAAATGGGATTCTTGAGGTCGAGCCTTTTGATGTATGGGGCATTGATTTTATGGGACCATTTCCCTCTTCTTGTGGGAATCGGTACATTTTGGTTGCCGTCGATTATGTCACTAAGTGGGTTGAAGCTATTGCGTCACCAACTAATGACTCAAAGGTTGTTATGAAGTTATTCAAGAAGATCATCTTTCCGCGTTTCGGAGTCCCAAGAGTTGTTATTAGTGATGGTGGTTCTCATTTCCATCAACGAACTTTTAAAGCTCTTCTTAAGAAACATGGAGTTACTCACAAGGTTGGCTTGGCTTATCATCCTCAAACGAGCGGCCAAGTGGAGGTATCTAATCGATAAATCAAAAGAATCCTTTAAAAGGTTGTCAACAAGTCCCGGAAAAGATTGGTCATTGAAGTTGGATGATACATTGTGGGCATTGCGAATGGCTTACAAAACTCCGTTAGGCACAACTCCGTATCGGTTGGTGTATGGCAAAGCTTGTCATTTACCGGTCGAAATGGAATATCTTTCACAATGGGCCGTCAAGGAAATTAATTTAGATCTAGAGAAGGCCGGTGAAGCGAGACTTCTTCAATTGAACGAGCTAGATGAGATTCGGCTTGATGCTTATGAGAACCATAGGCTCTACAAGGAGCAAACGAAGAAGTTTCATGATAAGATGATCCAAACTCGGGAGTTCAATATTGGTGACAAGGTGTTGCTTTATAACTCAAGACTTCGGCTCTTTCCTGAAAAGCTTAAGTCTAGATGGTCCGGGCCTTTCACAGTCACTGATGTCAAAGCACACGAAGCCATTGAGGTTGCTAGTGAAAATGGCACGAAATTCAAGGTAAATGGACAACGTTTGAAGCTATATACCGAGGGTGCTTTTATTGGTAAATTGGAGACGATTTATCTCTCCGATCTACCAATTGATGTTTGAAATAGAGGTAAGAAGTCAAGCTCATGACTTTAAAAGAGCACTTATCGGGAGGTAACCCGATTTCTTAATTCTTTGTCTTGTCATTTCCATTTATTTTTTATTTAGTTTTCTTTTAGTTTAGTTTTTTTTTTTTATTTTTTTTATTTATTTTTGCATTTAAGTTAAGTTTTTTTTTGTTTTTCTTCACTAACACAATTAACTTTTCTTTGTTTTTTTTTGTAGTGAAGTATTTCTTTAATAACAAAAAAAAAAAAAAGCAGCAGCAGAACAAAACCCGCAACCCATCCTGCGACCCTGTCCTGCGCCCCCCACCCAACCCTCCGCAGCCACTGCCAACCCGCAGGCTTGACCTGCGGTCGCGGGTTTTGGCGAAGCAGGCCAGCAGCAAATTTAAAAAAAAAACAGAAAAATCGAAAAGAAAAAAAAAACAGAGAAGAACGCAACCCACCCTCCCTCTCTCTCTCTCTCTCTTCTCCCTCGCCACCTCCACTACAACCGCACCCACCACCGTCGACCCACCCCACCGGCGACCACCGCCCACCAAGCCTCCTCCCTTTTTTCACCATCTATAACCATCATCCTTCTCTTCCTTTTGAAATCATAAACCCTAACTTTTCAAATTGAATTAGGGCTTTTGAATTACAAGTTGTATGGTATCAAATTGGGAATTTTGAAAGTATCTTTGGACTATAATAAGAGGTTTGATATATTATTGATGCACAATTTTCATGGTAGAGGTATAAATTTCAAATTTTTCATCTCTTACTATTCTACAATTGTGCTTATTCTTGAGTTTTAACCTTTTTATCATCTATTTTCACAAGTTGGTGTGGTAGTGTTGATTTTGTGTACATTCTTTGTGTGGATTGATTGTGAATTATTTTGGGTGACACATATTTGGCTTTGAACTATTCTTGTTCATTGGTTTGTGACTCTTTGTTGCTTATACTTCTCATCACTTTCACCATGAGGACAAGAACACGAACCTCTTCGGCACCTAAGACACTTTATGACCCCAACGCATATTCTCGAAAAATCACAAAAAAACCACCCACCAAACCCACAAAACGACCTACACAAGCTAAGCCAACCTCTAAACCCTCCACACCTACAACACCATCTAGAGTCCAACCTCTCCCTCCATCACCATCAACTCCACTTTCTTGGTTAACCGAGTCTCAAAAACAATGTGCAAACAAGCTTAAAGATCGAACCATGGGACAAACTCTTTACTTTTCTCTCTCAGATGCAAAAAAACTTGGGTTTGAATGGTTCTTTGATAGCATTGCAAGAACACATGGATGGAGTAAGGTCCTTTGTATTGATCATAATATATGTCCATCACTTGTCATTGAATTTCTTGCCACACTTGATGTCCAATCAAATAAGGGAGATGTGGTATTTTATTTGGATGGAGACGAGCGGATAATGTCGTTGGACGATGTGAATATGGATTTTGGATGGCCGAATAAAGGTGTCATGGGTCCGAAAGAGTTTATGAAATTCAAGGGCAGTCCAAGCTACTCTCTCTTCGACTCGAGCACTTTTTGGAAACAAATAACAGGTCGAACAGATTGGGAGTCCGGTGTCAGCAAATCTAGTTCTATTGGTTGTCCAGCTCTTCGCATGCTACATCGATTTATCCTTCAGTTATTTCGACCCAAGAGTGAGGCCGGCCAGGTGACTACATTGGACTTAAAACTTCTATGGTGGCTCACTAGATCTCATGGGAATTGGAGCCTCAATCTCGCCAAATTTCTCATTGAAGCATTTTTATGGGAGCGGGATCTGAAGAAGGGTGATATTTCCATGGGTGGATTTGTTTTTGTGTTATGTGCGGCATTATATGTTGATTTGAAAAATAAAGAGACATTTGAATCCACCAACTACATCAATCAGGATGCAATGGACAGATTCGGTTGGCTTTTCCACCGGTCCAAGGGTCGATATGTTTGGTTTGTTAAGGGTTGCTGAAGTTCCGATGCATGGTTGGTGTACGAAATTTTCCCGAATGATGCACCCCACGATGCAAGTAGTCTAAGTTGGAATCCATGTGAGATCACCGAGCGAATAGAGGTACACGGTGAAGTACAAAGTACTTTCCCTTGTTCACATCTTCAATCAGCGGCCGCTAGACCAAATAGCCCGGTGGTTGAAGATACCTCTCATTCTCGCCCTCCACCATCCTCTAGTAACCCAACTTCTAGTACTACGACAGCTCCACTCCCTCTTGATGAGCAACTGAAAAATTTTATGGATTCTTGTCTTTCTTTTCAGGATTCAGTTCTCACACGACTCACCAATATAAAAGGACAGGTACAGGATCTATATGCTGAGATTCGTGATTTGCGTCGCCATGTTGGAGTTCTTAGGGCCACTGCTTCTGCTGTTGTCACTGCTACCATACCTAATGATAGTAGCGAGTCCCTTTGAGTGAGCCATACCTTTCCTTTCTCCTTTGTATGCTTGTACACAGTGAGGACACTGTGCTTCATTCTAGCTTGGGGGAGGGATACTTATCTTTAATTGCTTTCATAGTGTAGTTTTTATTGCTTTCTTAGGACTGTTGTACGGTTTGTACCATTCATTAGGAGTGGGAGTTTACGTGCAACGAAAAATATGTATTGTTTTCTTAGTTTAGTTGTGTTTTTGAATAATGCATTCTTGTGCCTATCTTACATATGTTTGACTTCGAACCGTGTGCGGATTAGATTTGACTCTCTTGAGCTTCTTCTCATCATAGTTATGATTTTGAAATTCGGTTGGTGTGCTTTATACGTTGATAACTGCGTAGCAATGTAGCTTGCAATTAATGGGTTTGTGGTAAGATCTTTTGCTCTTTTTGAGTCTAGCTAGTCGAGATTTTGTAGACCCCAAGCCATGTGAGTTTTTGAAACCTGATTGATTGGTTGTCACATTTATTTATAACAGTCTATATTTTTGTTTGTGTGATAGTTCCTGGTGCAACTTTGATCTTGATTTTGCCTTGAGACTCGTAGTAATTTGGTTGTGATGAGTGCATGATTGAAATGATAAAGGTCTTTCTTTTTCTTTATTTGAGCCTCCACATGTAATTTTTGTACATTTTTTCCCTAATTGTAACCCATGTTGAGCTTTACCTTTCATTGAATTAGCCATATTATAAGCCTTGAGCCTTAATCAGTTACTATTCCTATGTCTAGCTTAGGGGAGTGGTCCATATTGTGAGTTGTGATTTTTATTTGGCTAAATATTTGCTTCATGCTGCAAAAAAGGGAGATTTTGAATGGAAGTTCGAGGTTAATTTCATTTAAAAAAAAAGAAAAAAAAGAAAAAAAAAAAAGAAAAAAAATCAATCAAAAAGAAAAAAAAGAGAAAAAGTAGAATAAATGGGGTATGAAAAAAAAATGAAAAAAAAATAAAAAAAAATAAATTAAAATAAAAGAAAAGTTGAAGAAAGAAGGGAAGAAGAGGAAATCAAATTACTTTGGTGTATGGGGAGGCGAGATGCTAAACAAGGTTATCTTTGACATGCATTCAATTGTGTTGTTATTGTGGACTATCACTATCACTCTCCCAGCTAGCTACTCTCTCACATTTCCCAAAATTTTATCCTACCTCTCACCCTAGCCCCATTACAACCCTTATAAAACCCTTTTGATCTTCGTGCATAAGTTATGATTGAATGAAATGTGTTTTGAGTCAAAGTTAAAGAATATTTGTTGCATTCCGAGTCGACATGGTATAGATTGAGTGTTTGTTATAACCCTAGCTGGTAGGGCACCTCTCGTGCTCAACTTCAGCATATCTACAAGAAATCGGCGGAGACTAGCTTGGAAAGAGACTGTTTGTGGCCTCTAGATTGGAGAGTTAATTACAAGACTATGAGTGCTACGTGGTTCTATTTGTATCCGAGCCAGATTTCAGTTTCGCTAACTTTGGTTTGATAGTTTGCTCGAGAGTCGAGTCAGTCTTATTCTGGTTCCCTGGAAGTCTTGTTTCCCCGTCTTGAGTCTAGTGTTGCTTAGGGACAAGCAACGGTTTAGCTTGGGGGAATTTGATAAATCATATTTATATAGTTTTATTTAGGCACGTTTTTTCTAGTTTTAGAGCTTTTTCATAGTCTTCTTAATCGTTTTTAGAGTTATGTCTGCATAAGTTATTATATGTCGCTCTATTACGCTCCTTTTGTGTTTTTCTTAATGTTTCAGGTGATTTCATAGTCATTTGGAAGCTTTCGAAGTGTTTAGAGATGATTCGGATGATATTTGAATGGAAATCGATGGATCGGGTTCATTGATCGAGGGATATATGCCCGTGGATGTTGTCTCTAAGGATTTTATGCATGGAAAATGAAAATAGCATCCACGAGAGTCACTATGGACCTTACGGAAGTGAATTTGAGTGAGAAACGGGGAAAAACGAAGGTTTGCAAGGTATCAAAAATGACCTTTTCTCACTCTTTTGATCATATCTTGAGTTCTACATATTGGATTGATGCGATTCAAGTTGCGTTGGAAACAAGACTTGAAGTGATTTCCAATAATAGGTCACACGCCCCGAGAAGATTCTTAGAACAGAAGTTATGAGCATTTCAATCTAGTCAATGCAACCAGCCAACCGCGGGGGTGGCTGCGCCCCTGTCCCGCGCCCCCTCGAGGCTGCTGCCGCCACTGCCAGGGCGCGGGAACAACCTGCGGCCGCGAGTCTGGTCGGGTGGTGATGATGAGCCACTCGCATCCTTGCTTCCCTCGTGCCACGTCATCAATTGTCATTTAATAGCATTATACTTATGTATTTATTTATTAATTTTATTAGGATGAGGCAAAAAATATAAATACTTAGAAGATTTTATTTTGCCTTTTTATGCATTATTTTTCCAGATTAAACGTTTCTTAGTTTTTCTCTCCATTGTTGAACCCTAGCTTTATTTCTCCATTAATTCAATCATTGAGGTATTTCATTTATTCTTTTTGTTCTTTATTTATTTTTTCAATTATGAATTCAAGTCTATTTATTTC